TCTCTCTCTCTCTCTCTCTCTCTCTCTCTCCACTCTTACTCTTGACTCACTCACTAACCACTCGCTTACATGTGAGTGAATGCATTCAATTTGAAAATCAATTTTTCTTTTATTGTCCATAAATATTATATTGACTTTAACTCTACCATTTATCCAAAGATAATAATAGCAATAAATATCAAACTGTTTGCCACTAAAACGGTTTCTTATAGCCCAACAATATTTAGCTATAGTTGTAATAAATAAATCAGTTGTTTAATTAAATTAGAATTAAATTATGCACTTGTTGTGGAATAATATTTTAAAATTAATTTGTTATTGATTTCAGTTTACTTTCAATTATTAAAATTATTTAATTAATATGTAAATTGAATGTAAATTTCACATAACATAATATATGAATATTGTGCCAATTATGCAATATTTTGATAAAAATATATCACTGTTTTTGAATGCATTGAAAATATGACGAAGAGTTAGAAAACATTTTTTGAAAAAGAGAAAAACAGTACTTATGATGGAGTGCTTCGAGCAGTTTGTATTAAATGAATTCATTTATATTAATGGCATTATCTTATGTTCAATTAGTCATTAACTGAATGTTTTGTGACAATTTTCACTAAACGGAATGAATGTCTGAAAGAAAGTCTAATGATATAAATATAATAAATTGCAAAACGAGAGCATATGAGAGGAACATTGAATGTTTGAATCGATTCAATCATTTATAGTGTATATCCATTTGATTTCTATTTTATAGCCAAAAATCGCACAAATGACTGTCTATTGCATGAGATTTACTATTTTTGCCACTTTTATTGATTTGATGATAGAATGAACGTCTTATTCAATACAATAACAATTTGCGTGTATTTATAGATTATATTTATAATAAAAACAATATTTTACTTTTAAAAGCGTAAATGAGTTTCTTTTGTTGAAGAGATTTGAATTGAATTTGATGTCAATTTATTGATTCAATATTTACAGACATTTCCTTCAACTATATCATAGAAGAGCAACCAATCGGAAGACTATTATTCAGGAATTTCTGTGAAACTAAACCTCAATATAATAAATGCAACAATTTTCTCGATGCAGTCGTCAGTATATAACATGTTCTCTAAGCCGTCAAATCTCTTTAATACTGTATATTATTTGTTAACAATTATAGGAAAGCTATGAATTGCAGTTCGATGAGGACAGGGCGAGCGTCGGCCACGAGATTATTGTCAAATACTTAACCAAAGAGAGCACACATTTTGTCGATGTTATTAATCAAGATATAATTACTCAATGCAATGACAATTTGCATTCACATTATAAAGACCTCTTCGCTCAGTGCGCACAGTATGTATCGACACAACTATCGAAGCCATTGATTGTTTGTTTTGCAATTATCATATATTTGAATTTGATTTACAGGTCAGTCAAAGATTTTCTATCGAAAGATCCGTTTAAAGAGTTTGAAAGAAGCAAATATTTTTTACGGTATTTGCAATGGAAAACACTGGAGAGTCGGACGGTTACGGCCAAAACGTTTAGGATGTATAGAGTGTTAGGGAAGGGAGGCTTTGGTGAAGTGTGTGCGTGTCAGGTGAGGGCCACCGGCAAGATGTACGCGTGCAAGAAGTTGGAGAAAAAGCGTATCAAAAAACGAAAGGGAGAGTCAATGGTATTGATTGAGAAGCAAATTCTCCAGAAAATCAACTCCCGATTTGTTGTGAGTCTGGCCTATGCTTACGAAACGAAAGACGCTCTCTGTTTGGTTCTGACGATTATGAACGGCGGAGACCTTAAGTTCCATATCTATAACATGGGAGGAGAGCCGGGCTTTGAATTAGAGAGATCCCGATTCTATGCCGCAGAAGTGACACAAGGGTTGGAACACTTGCACATTCAGGGCATTGTCTACAGAGATCTCAAACCTGAGAATATTCTCCTCGACGATCACGGTTTGCATACAAATGTCAGTACTTTATGTTATTTTGACTAATTGTTTGACGCAAATCTCAGGACACGTCCGGATATCAGATCTGGGATTAGCGATGGAAATACCTGAAGGAGAAACTGTGAGGGGAAGAGTTGGAACTGTTGGCTATATGTCCCCCGAAGTGATTGATAACGAGAAATACACGTATAGTCCCGATTGGTTTAGCTTAGGATGTCTTATATATGAGATGATTGAAGGACAGGCGCCCTTCAGGGCCCGCAAAGAGAAGGCATTTATAGATTTTTGATTCCATTGATTGTAAACAAGTGTTGATTTGAGTTGTCATATATACAGGTAAAGAGAGAAGAAGTTGAGCGCCGAGTGAAAGACGAAAACGAAAAATACTCGAATAAATTCACTGAAGACGCGAAAGCCATCTGTCAAGCGGTCAGTCAATTGAAACATTGGTTTTAATGGATTGTTGTATTGACTTATTTTATTTCTACCGATTATATAGTTGTTAAAGAAAGACCCTAAAGAACGTCTCGGCTGTACGAGCGGTCGATTCGGCTCTTTTGATGTGAAGGCACACGACTTTTTCAAATGTTTGAATTGGAAAAGACTTGAGGCCGGAATACTTGAGCCGCCCTTCTCTCCAGATGTGAGTCAAATAATAATACCGGTAATAGTGATAAGGATTATCTCATTTGTGTTGTTTGCTTGTCTTCGATAGCCTCACGCCGTGTACGCGAAGGATGTATTAGATATCGAGCAGTTCTCGACAGTAAAGGGTGTAAATCTAGACGCGAGTGACGACACATTTTACACTAAATTCAGTACCGGTTGTGTATCGATTCCGTGGCAAAACGAGATGATAGAGACCGAGTGCTTCAAAGAGTTGAGTGCTTTCGGACCAAACGGTTCGCTACCCATTGATCTCATGTTCGACTGCCCGCCCGTCGAAGAAACGAAAGGTTGTTTTCCTTTCCGCAGAAAAGCTAAAAAGAGAGACATTAAGAGCTCGTATTCGGCGACAAACGATCACTTCTCGCACTTGTCGTCGTCCGGCGCCGAAGGAAAGGATCCGATGACTCGCTCGCAGCCGACGCCCACTGCGGACATTGTGAACGCCACGAACACAACCCTTACGTTCAACAGTTAATACCTTTTTTATATTTATTTCTACTTAAGTCTTGACTACAACTCTATTTAAAACAAAACTATATTTGACTTTTGTCTACATTTATAACGACAAACGAGAGCATAAATTTGGCCAAAATCTTCTTCACCTGATTGTGTGTCACTACATATCATCTCTCCATTTATTAGACTATTTTTCGTCAATATTTTAGACATTTTTTAATTTCATTGATTAATTGACATGTTTTTTAATTTATATAAATTTTATTATATTATTATATACTTAAACAAAATTACGTGAAAAACAAATGTTAAAATTTTAACAATTGAATTATTGTTAAAAACACAATCAATTCATAAACTGAGTTATCTATCGCTCAAATGATATGCATTTCCTGTACATTAAGTCTGAAAATTAATGTAATCTTATATTTCCATTTGGTTGCTATCGATGTGTGCTGTGATTCCAATCGTTACTAAATTTAATTCAATTATTGCTTCAAATCCTCCAAACAAACTAAAGCTTTGATTATTGCTTTGAAAATAATCATATTTTTCGGTGTATTTCTCAATACAAACACTAAATCTGAAAACAAAATGCTATAAAAATAAATACTATAAACACACAAAAACTGCTAATCTATTCATACAAATGCTATAATTGTTTTAATTTTGATTTAAACTTTGGAAATGTTATCGATTGGAAGTTATAAGAAGTATACACTTCTTGTGTAATTGATATAATAATTATATATTATTATTGATTGTATTTATATTTCTATATTCATGTGTAGAAAATAATTGTATAATAAGAGTACAAAACAGACCATCGTTTCAGTCGTTCATTTCATCATTTAATACAATTTGAATGTATTTTATATATTATATAATTATCATAATTAGTATTAATTCTGTGCTATAAATATATTACTATTTATTAATTGTTTTGAGTTTTCTCTTCACTAAACTGTTAGAAACGAATTCATAAAGTATTTCGATATTTATTATTATTAAGTGATAATTAATTTAATTTTTTGCAATATATTGTCTAAAATTTTGTTGAATTTAATTGACTATTCATTTCGTAAATTAACTTAATTTGTTAAACAAAACCAAAAGTTATCTAATTATAAATAAGAGAAACTAAATTATTATTAATTAATTAATTGCCATAAATTTTGTGTTAATTTTAATTCAATGTTTATCTTAAAAATATTAGGAAATGTTTATAATTTTAAAAATAAAAAAGTTTTCAATGAAAGTGTGGGTCATTTCACTCAACACTTTACTGACCAAAAAACCCATTGTTGTAGTAATTAAATGACAAAATAACACACTTTTTAATGCAAAACCTTTCAATTCATTCATTAATTCACTTTAAATCTCAATAAATTCACTCAAATTCTCATTCATTTCTGATTCTTATTTCAATACAAAATTCTTGATATTCTTGTCATTCTTGATGACCAAAGCGTTGTTCAATGCATACTCGCATATACAGTATTTAGCGGTACATTGTGTTACTGGTAATACGAGTGTCCACATGTCCACCAAACATGTACTCGGGGTTACTTTAGCCGTTCAATTGATGACAAATAAATGCATATGTGTAATGCGAAAGTGAAAGGTGAGATGTATACCAAAGTATACCAATGGAATCAATGTTATTATAATGATCAATTCTCATTCAATGACCAATACTTATCACCAGGCCATTCCAAAATAAAGAGGGGCTTTTATTATTTGAACGTGGTTATTGTTTGAACTTGGTAATATTTTATATATTACTCACACTAAATGTAAATAGTGTATGAATAATGTGTACAATTTTTTATATGTTTGCCCTACGTTGGCTCATTGGAATGCTGTGCTTATCACCTTTTACTTTCGAAATAAACATATGTTTTTAGTACATATTCATTCAGCAAATGCTCTGTTTATGACCAACTTATAAGTTATAATACAATTATCTCCACATTGTCTTAAATAGTGGTCAATTGTCTCAGCAATTCATTCATCAAAAATAAATTATTAATTAAATGATAATAATATGGATTACAATTGAATTGCATTTGAATTGATTGTGAATTTGCGCCAAATATTAGACACATTCTGTACGCAAACGCTTTGAAGTTTGAAATGTTTGAAACAAAATACAAACAAACCATTCATTGACTCAACATTTGAACACATCTTAACTCAAATGTTGATCTCATCGGCGAAGACATAATGACCACAATTATCTCAATCTGTGGATCAAATTAGGCGTAAATTGTGGTGAATGTGAAGAAGTGATGCGATTCTGTGATAAATGTGTGATCTGTTGAGCAAAGATGAGAATCGGTCGACGCTTTCGTCGATTTTGTGGACAATTTTGCGATTATTTGACGAATCGATGGCTTCTTGTGGTCTTGTATTCAAAAAGTCTTGGTTTCAACGCTCACATGGATTCGGGATATTTGGCGGACACTCTTCTGGAGCCCATGTTTTGGTTCGTCGATAACTTCACTCATCTGTTGGGACCCGTGAGTCGGCTGTCGGCTCAAGACATGTGTAGTTGTCATCAATTGGTTGTCTTTATTTGCAACAGATATTTGTGGTATCGGTGGTGAGTCTTCTCGCGGTGTTTGTAGTGATCGCGTACGCGATTGGTCTGAGCTTTTGGTTGAGGACCAGTCAAACGATAACAGCTGTGGCTCTAGTGATCGGACACTGGCTTCTCGTAAATGTCTGTTACCATTACTATATGGCGTTCATTACATCTCCAGGACATCCGCCACAGGTATGTCCTATATGAGGACCAGTCAAACGATAACAGCTGTGGCTCTAGTGATCGGACACTGGCTTCTCGTAAATGTCTGTTACCATTACTATATGGCGTTCATTACATCTCCAGGACATCCGCCACAGGTATGTCCTATCCGTGAATCCATCACTTGATTGGTGCCATCAACTCATGTCTCGCACGAAAGGACACAACCATTTCAGAAGTGGTCTCATTCTGTAAGCGATGTATTGGTCCGAAGCCTTCGCGCACTCATCACTGCTCCGTTTGCAACAAGTATTGAACCAATCAATTGAATCCGTTATAAACCAAATGAATGTGTGTTTAGGTGTGTGTTGAAGATGGACCATCATTGTCCATGGTTGAACAACTGTATTGGCCACTTTAATCATAGATATTTCTTCATGTTCTGCGTCTACACATGGATTGGAACTATTTTTGTGATGATCTTTGGCTACAGAATAGCTTACGAACACTTTTGGCCCAAAACGGACATCACTTCAAACCATTCAAACAATTCTGTAATTATTATCATTTTGTTGTCAAAGTTTTAATGCACTCACAAAAAGTGTATTTTCATTAGAACTCAACAAACATTTCGACCAATTTTATCGATTATATGAAACACAAGTGCATTATCTTCGAGGGTCTGATGACTATCGGAATATTTGTCGCTTTGGGTGAGCATCAAGTGAAGTGAATATATTGTGAAAAATATGGTAACATTGGTTAACATTTAGGCGCTCTCATGGCTTACCACTCACTTCTCATAACCAAAGGGGAGACTTGTATTGAAAGGCATATAAATAGTAAAGAGAGAAAACGTTTGCTAGAAATGGGCAAAACATTTGTAAATCCTTATGATTTCGGTCCGCGAGAAAACTGGAGGCGCTTTCTGGGGCTGAATCGCGCCGGCGGTTGGCTTAACGTATTGTTGCCCTCAAAGTTCGCGCCGCCCGGCGATGGACTCGTTTGGTTCACAATCCATGACAACGATTGCCAAACAATTCGTTAAATTATTTATATTTATATATATTTTATAATATTTCCAATAAATAAAACTTTAATATCAAACCAATTATTAGAAGCGCATAAAAATTCATTCAATTCATGATTTAATATTAAGTGCACTTTTGAGCTAACAATGGGACAACTTTTCACATAATTTAGCCCTTCATTGGATTAGTTTTCACTCAAAGATCAATAAATAAAATAATTTAAGAGAATTGACAATTAAGTCAATAAACAAATACAAAGTATAATTAAAGATAAAAGTTTTTGTCCAAAAATGTTATCAATTCTTTGGTGTAAAAGAAATTGTCTTATAATTTGATGGCATTATTATTATTAAGTTTAGCGACAATTAACCAAACAATACGGTCCATACTTTGATAGTGCCGTCGTGTCCAGTGGTGACGATAGTCGACTCGTCTAACCATTCAATACGAGTCACTTGACTTTGCGGATGAGCCTCTGTTCGTACAAAACATACAAAACAAGTGTTAATAAATGAACAATAAATGGTTAATATGATTGTTAATATACTTTTAAGTGTAAAATGTTTGTTAGGTTGCGATGCGTTCCATATTATGATTCCTGTGTCCAAAGAACCGGACGCTAAATGTATGCAATCGGGAGACCAGGAAAGACAGTTCACTCGCGCCGTATGGAAACCCCATTCCAGTTGATGCGCTAACTATTCATACAAATTATCGACAATTAGTTTTATAGTATTATATTTCACATCAAATTATATCAAACCTCATAAGAAGGCGACAAATAGAGAACAATTTTGCTAAAAAAATACAAAACAATTAGTAATTATATAGAAGTGTAAAAGAGTTGTTCAATGAGTACCGATTCTGGTCGGCGGCGGCCAAGTATTTGCCGTCTGGAGAGTAGGAAACATCAGTGATGGGCGCCCTGTGTTCTAGTATAGCCTTTTCAGTCAGACTATTGCCATTGAGTGTATAGATATGGACTTTACTATCTTTCGTACCGCCGACGGCCACGTCGTTGTGCACGTGATTTATGCTAACACTCGAGGGCTCGTACGCCACGGGAATTGACGACTGTTTACCGCAAGTGCTAACAGCGGTGTACACACTGATGGTCTCGTGTCCGGCCACTACAATCAATTCCTGTCCCTGGAGTACTGCCACTCCGTGCGGCTGTGAATCCAATTTGATTTCATTGCCAAACTTATTGTCGTTGGAGTCAATAGTTCTGACCGTGTCGTCGAAACCCACGCTATAGACAGTGCCGTTATTGAAGGCCAAGTCCGCCACTTGATTCGTATGGCCTTTGCCTTCGATGCGGTTGTGATCACCATTTTGTGGATTCCAATAAGTGATATATCCATCAGTACTTCCCGTATAAATGAATTTTTCACTCGAGTTCTTATTGACAGTTAGAGCAGTGATTGTCTTATTGTGACCTTTGACTACACGTAACGGTTTGTTGGGATTATTGACATCCAAATAGTTGATAAAACCCGACAACGAGACGGATAGCATGTATTGGTTTTGCCACAAACAGCTCACCTGTTGATCCAATACATCGCTTCCCATTTGAAACACACTTCAAATAATAACAATTATATAATCAATAATAAAATCACAACAAAATTATGTCAAATATCATACGTAACGCATTGAAGAGTATTAGCGTCCCATAGTTTACATGTCTTATCGCCGGAAGCGGACAACACTTGCGTGCCGTCGGGCGACCACTGGACAGCATAGATGCCGCCCGCGTGAGCGGGACTTCCAAACTCTCCGACTTTGCTGTAATCATTGGTTTTGTATAGAAATAACTTGCCGTCAAAGCCGGCGCTCGCGAACTGCTCGCCATTGGGCGAGAATCGGACCGATTGGACAAATCTTGAATGATCTTCGAGTTGTGTTTTGAACTTAAAGGGCGGGCCTTCGTATATACCAATGAAGTTGTCTTCACTTCCGGTGATAATACGAAAGGGACGGCCCGGACGGAAGTCACACGAGTTGATAGTCTTGGAGTGACCGGCGATCTCGCCGACAGACGTTCCCGTTTCCATCATAAACACGTGACCGAAGCGTTCGCGTCCCTCACCGACGGCCACAATGCGCTGACTGTCCGGAGACCACGAGAGGTCTTTAATGTTGCCGACAAAGGGCTGGAACTCATTCTTAAGGATGTGCTCCTTCTGAGTGGTGTCCCAAATGCGGACTTTGCCCGACTGGTCGGCCGAACAGATGTAGAAACCGCTCGGACTGTATTTGGCGACAGTTGTGAGCGTCGAGTGTTCGGTGTATATGTCGGCCACCGATGGGTTATCGATGTCTCGGATTATAATACTATTGCCGTTCGGATACAGAAATGTCTTTCCCTTCGGGTCTCCGCCCAAGACTAATGGCAAACCTCTTTGAGTTCGTGGAAGCGTTGCAAACGTGTTGCCTGAAGACCATAACAACAATATAACAAACGGATTATCAGATTAGCACCTCTTCAGAGAGATATCAACACTTGAATCGGTGACAAAACACTTACGGTTTTGAAGCATTTTTCTGGACGTTTGGCTCAAATTGAGTGACAATTAAGAGACAAAACAAGTGTTAATTTTGAGCAAAACTTATAAATCAAATGTCAATCAATTGAACGACACTTTAAATAGTGTTTTAAATTGAATTAAACGTCAAACTGGAGTGCAATCAATGGTTGAATACAACGAGTATTGCATTCAATGAATGTCTAAAACCCTCCCATTTGTGTCCAAAATAGGAAATATTGTTGTGTTAGACGACAGGCATAACAGCATTACAGCCAACACTACCCATGCATTCAATGCATCCCAACCCACACAACACTACTCTAAGCCACACAACCGGCGCATCGCTTCATATGAAGTGACGGAACCATTCATAACATACAGAATATGCCATTAGTATAGCATTTGACGACAATTTACACGCATTTCGTTAACCAAAACGCTATTTGTATTTCATTTAACAACAAAACCGATCTTTAAATACATGTTTACCAATAGTTAGCGATTGAGTGGACACATATGTATGAGAATAAGGTTTCCAAAAGTATTCAATTCGTGAATTGCATTGAATGCCTACTCCTGGAGATTATGATTTAGAAATATGACCACAAAGTTGTTTCTTTGCCACTCTTTGAACCCAATATGCCATACAATCCATGAGATGATCAGTAAAACTGATTCAATCGGATAAACGACTACTAAGAATACGAAATATGTCTTAAGAGTTGGATTGTCTGGCATTCGATGCCATAGTTTGGGCAAAAGGGTCCACACTTTGGAAGAAATGATTAGGAATGCGAGCGTAACGATGATATGTACGGCAAACAGTAGTTTGAGTCGAGGATCAGCTAAAAACTTGACAAAACTCATACCTTTCTTCACGAGTGGAAAGGCTGTGTATTGCGTACAACAGACACGACATATCATTTCGCCCGAAGTAGACATCCATGCGATGAGACATTCTTTGTGCACGTATTTGAGAGTCCCTTTGCAAACGCATGGACTCAACAACGGATTTGTCTGACATTCCTCTTCAGTAAACTCGTCTTCACTCGACTGACAAATACGACACTCTTTTTGATCATTTGAATCCATTATTTGTGTTGTCTTTTGGCTTAATATTTGGTCAGAATTAACAATAAGAAGTCTAAACTAATTTTCAAATTAAAAAATAATTTTATTAAGAATAGAAAATATAATTTTTAAAAACAATTTACATTGAAATTAAATTTATAAGAAAATATACTTTTGAATAACTTATTGAGAATGTCTTAAATATCTTTTTTGAATAAATAAAATCAATAAATTTTGGTCAAAGATTTCAATTTCAATGATGTAATTATGAAACCAAAATTGTTTGCCCACTAAATATTGTTTTCCTTTTTCAACATTTTATCTTAAAATTCAGTACAAAATATCACAGAATAGTGTGTTTTGAATCTCCATTTAAAACATACCAATAATTTTATTAAATTTCATTTAAACTTTAAAATCAATTTTAATTCAAATGTTGACAATTCGTAAACCATATATAAGTAGCGGTCAATTGTGAACTTCTTATGGGTTATCGCCTTCTTGTGACTCATCCTCGTCTTCATCGTCGTTGTGGTCAAACATTAGGCCTTCACTCATCATCTTATTGAAGAGGTCCGCCTCTCCCGTGTAGTAAAACACTGCCCGAGGAATCCAATCACCCGACAAATGCTTACAGAGTTTCCAGTCAGCGATCAAACGTTGCTCTTGTGAATCATCCAAAGGCTCTTCAGAAGACCAGAAGAACTGGAAAAATGATGGTTTCTGTGCTGAGTCTTTGCCATTCTTCCACTCGATTGGTGTGGACTCGCCTTTGATTGGACGGCACCGACAATTCACTTGACATTCCTCGTCGACATCGCTTATAATCAGCAACTTTTTGGTCAACACTTTGTTCTCGAAGTACTCGTTGGGCGCGAAATGAAACTCAATTATATTCTCCTTTTTTTCCTTATTAGTCATCTCTTTTATGTCAATCAAATGCTGAAGAATCGGTTCGTCGTGTTCTGAGATCAGCTCTTTAAATGGGGTCGCAGTCAACACATTGAGCCAGAAGTCGGGAATACCGACGACATCCGTGGCATCCGCTGGGATCTGATCTTCTGGACACAAATCAGAGTCCATGGGTTCGTACTCTCCGTTCACTATTTGGCGTCTCTTTTCATAAACATGTGCACAAAGTTGTGCCAACTCTGGACTCGATGTGCCGAACAATTGCATCGCTATTACCATATCTATGAACAGTTTCTTCAGAGCGGATAAACGTCTTTCGATGGCAATCGGCATCTCATCGGTAGCGCTATCGCTGTCCACATCCCCCTCGAGTGCCAACTTATCGACACACTTACAGATGTCCTCTTCGGTCGACATTTATGTCAAATATCTTTCGGTTTATAATTGAAATTAAATCAAAAATTGCGTAAAAAATCAAAACTTATATTAAATGCAAAAAAACGTTAGAAGTGTTGAAACGAATCTATAGTTTAATAATGAGAGCAATATTGCAATCCATATGGATATGAAAGTGAAGTGTATATCAAGTGATGGATTGAATGAATGGAAAACTTATTAATTGGTTAGCAATCGATGCGTCCATTCATTGCATTCACTACTTATTACAACTTTACTAATCATTTGTAAGACTAATGCTTTGATTAAAAGTGAATTTCTAATTGAAAGCAATGAATGCACGCATCGATTGCTAACTCATAACTGGCTTTCCATTCATTGCATTAGTAATGAAGACATCACTGCATGTGTTCTCTGACCACAGCATTCACCTCAACACCAAAACCAATGCATTCCACGAATAGTCAGTAAATTGTGTTCACATTTAGTCATCGAAAGTGTGATTCGTATGAATGGTGTCTCACATAATGTATGCGAAACTTAATACACTTGTGATTGCATTCGAACTCTGAATACGAGTTACTGGGAGTCAGAATGCGTTCGAATGCGTAGTGAATGCAATCACTGGTCATTGCAATCAATCACTCAATCACTGCAAGCATTGCGTTGTCTTTCAAGGCGTGTGTCGTAAGTGTCGGTCATTACCAGCGAAACAGTGAAACACGAGTGACCGCTATGTCTGTAAACCAATTGACTCAAGAGTTCGAATACGCGGACGAATGTCTTCAACACCTCTTAGACACCGAACACAAGAGACCCGACTTTCACCTCAAGTGATCACATGATCCACACCTCACTCGCACTAACCCTCTCTCACACACACTCTCTCTCTCCCCGACTCATAGGTCACCGCAATTGGACGCGCGGCCGGATCTGATGCAACGGATCCAAGTGTTATGTCTTTGTCTCAAACTGTCAACGCGTGTCAAATATCTGTCGATTTATATAATGGACTTCTTTATGGATAATCACGTGATATGTGAGGATAAGCTGGAACTGGTCCTCATGTGTAGTCTCTCGATAGCAGGTATGCCTTCGCTATACTGTTATGTCTTGAGTGTGTGTAATGTGTGTCTCATATGGTAGTGAAAGTGGAGGAATGCGACCGTACAGTGAAGTACAGCCAAATGTTTTCGGAGACCAATCAATACAGTAGTGAAGAAGTGCTGGAAATGGAGGAATTGATAATCAATCACTTCGAGTGGCAATTCCTGACCCCAACGCCCGCCACTTATAAACAGTGAAGTACAGCCAAATGTTTTCGGAGACCAATCAATACAGTAGTGAAGAAGTGCTGGAAATGGAGGAATTGATAATCAATCACTTCGAGTGGCAATTCCTGACCCCAACGCCCGCCACTTATATCGACTACTTTTGCGCCAAATGTTTGCCTGAAATCGACTCAAAGAAGTTAAACAAATCGTTGATTGAGAAATATATGGACAAATCAATTGGTATTCAACGCCTTTGATTGGCTAATGATTGAAATCTCATTGATATTTGCTTTTTGGGAACAGATCTGCGGTTCTATGCGTTCAGGCCATCAGTGATCGCCGCCTCCACCATATATTACACGCGAGAGAAACACCATTTGACACCTGTTTGGCCCAAAAACGCTCAAAATATCACTAAATACTCGTTGACTGATCTGAAAGATTGTATCCATGAATTGTATATCAATTTTATCATTAGTTTTCTCAACACTTTTTACATTATTCTTTGTTGTGACAGAAAAAAGTATGATTTTCTGACCACACCGTCCAAGCGATTCATTAATATTGGGAAACAACTCAATGATTCTGGTTTTGTAGACTATGACAACAAAACTATCATTTCTTAACCATTTCACTACATTTAATTCAATTTGAGCTCATTTTTTGGTCAATTAGTTTAGAAAGTTATTTAATATATTGCGAAAATTTATCCCAATATAAGTGAAATTCAATTGTTATTTAATATAATTTATTTAAACTTAATTCTGTTATAAATTAGATAATAAAAAAGTAATTTTAATTTACGTTAATGTTTTTAATCCTATAATAGTTTTTATAATAAAATCTACAAAAAATGCATATAATTTGAAAAATATTCTAATAATGAGGACTTAATTATGAGAACCTAATTATATGATCCCTTTTTGATGAACTCTTTCATTTTGGACAACATATTAGGCATAAGTCCTATGTGTGTGTCCACACACTTGACTACACACGACTCGAACTGAGTGGTGAATCCCTTCATCTGGTCATCGGTGGTCTGAGCGCCGATCTTATCCTTTATGCCGTCCTGACAGCTGAGGACACATCTCTCGATCCGATCCTAAACCACAACACAGTATTCATTATATCATTTGCTGTCAAACCAATCATCAGTTGTCTGGTCTCTCACCTGAAAGCCATTCACTTCGCGCTCGACGTACGCCTGGGCTGTCTGTAGGGGTTGTGAGCACTTGGATATACACTCGTGGTTACCCTCCATGGATAGGTCAGTGCGATCGCAGCACTGGGCCGCACACCTATGCATTTCACCCTATTGTCAACAATAATACATTACATCAACAATCATTGCCACTATTGCATCATTACATGCAATTGTTTGCCATTATTGGCCTCATTGTACACTAAATTCACTAAATCTACATCATGATGGTAAATATGGCCAAAATGACCACATCATGTGTATCTGGAAAGAGGTAATAAAGCGGTCAATTAAGCCCATTAAGTGGTGATCATATGTGGGGCCGAGTGTTGACATTGTGTTTACAGGCCATCGATGGCCGGGAAATGGTGTTAATGGGTTGGGAACGAAGACATTGGTATGATATGATAATATGGGTGATAATGGTTGAGACAAACCTGTATTCTTCGCATACATGACTTGTCCAAGTCGTTCATCAAATCGTGGAAACACTTCTGAACACGTGTTTGGGCTTCAGATGCCATGACTTTCGCTCAATACTATCGATATTAGGCTAACATTTCGATACCATTACTAATGTTCCCAAACTTTAAGCATAAAGTTTTGCCTAAAGTTTTATTCAAAAGTTCCTTATTTTCACTCAATTCTTATAGATTTGAATAATTTTTAAAAATTGTATTTTGTATTTGTATTTAAGTTTTTTATAATTGATTTTAAGTATTTGTTTCTAAATATTAGCCCAAATTTATTGGAGATATGAAATACAGAAATTCATATAAATTGTTACAATATTCAGAGATATTTACATTGAAAATAAAGATAATTTTGTTTACATGCCTTTTAAGTGTCTAATAAAAAGTCTGGAGAATTGTTTGTTCCGGAAGTGTTATTAATCCTTGATTTAGACTATGATTTAATAATATTTATGAATCACTTATAATAACAATTCTCTTAATAAACAATTAAATTTTGTTGTCTTAAATAATACTGCAATTAAAGTCGTGAAAACAGTTTAAATATTATTTATATTAAACAATTTGTTTGTATTGATTATGGTTAAATATTTATAGTATTAATAATTAAGGCCTTAGGTATGGCTTACCTGGCGTTTAGTTTACGATATTTGTATCAACACTTTATTCTCAGACAAACAGACAACAATGTAATGATTGTCTGTTTTTAAAAAAAAGTTTGTCTAACCATTAATTAATGATATTTGTGTAATTGTTCTGATATTATCTGATAATTCATTAACTAATAAGTTATAAGTGTTTGTTTTGACAAATATTGACTTACCTTCAAATTGAATTTAATTATAACTTGTATTTTTAAATCTTAGCCCTTAATTATTTTCTGTGAAATAGATTTTTAAAAATAAAAACAATATCTAAGAAATGATTCATAAAATTACTATTTATTAAATAGTATTTAACAACAAAACAATTTTCAAGTATTATTATTAAATCTAAAATTAACGTATAATTTAGGAACCAAAAAACTTTTGCAAACTTATCTAGTATTATTTAAAAGAAATACAATGTATAAAGAATGGATAATTAATTACATGAGATATCTAAACATGATTGAAATTGTATATGCATTTATTACATGATATTATTAAAGCTATAATAATTTGAATATGATTTAAAGTTTAAATGTTAAAACATAGTATTGAACAATGGATTTGTAAATAACATAAAAATTCAGATCTACTATAAGGGAGTGTCGATTGAGATTTGGTTTGACTATAATATGTAGTTTGTATTGAAGAGGAATATAATGTCTTTGAGGTTATGTTGATTGGAATGTTGACAGCAGTGGACACATGTGTTACCGATTGATTCGCTTGTTTGGTGTCCTCTCGACCCCCACTGACAGAGCAATGGATATTTCATTTAACATATCAGTGGTGTTAGAGTCAGTGCTTCACGTTTTTATTATTGAATGCCCGGAGAAGTGAAAAGGAATGAACCAAAAGAAAGGCGAGGATAAAAGAAATGACATTTTCTCTCGATTAGGAGTTTGCGGCACAACTACTACTAGTTTATGACCCCTTCGGGCCATTCGCTGCCAACCGTCTAAAGAGAGCTCCATCTTCTTGTAACGCAAACTACAGAATCGCCTTAAGTATTGCCTATCATTGGCTATCATTGGCTATCAATACAATCATCGGCAAAGTCGGTCAGCATTTAGAGCTTTGTTTAAATAAGTCAAAAGTGATTTTCTTTTTGTGAGTTTAGCCAATGATCTCTTCAATAGTGCTTTTTTGGCCATCAAAAGGAATCATAGATTACATAAAAAACAAAATAACTTCAAATTTATGCCCGGCTTCCGACCCATGTGTGTGACTCCATGGGTGGTTAGAAACCTAAACGTATACACAATGTATATATTCTCCGCTCACAAGTCAGTCAAAAGCTGTGTTTCTTGTATTTATTAAATTAAAGAAAGAGTTGAACTAAACGTAAAGTCCTCATTGAAAGCGAGGCGCTGTTGAGTTGGCTAATAATAATAATAGCAATAATAATAATCGTCTAATAAACTATTGAAGTATAAAAATGCAAACACAAAAACCCACACTATCTCGAAATCTTAACCGTTAAACAAATATCTAATTCAGAAAGAGTAGTATATCTCCGGAATGACACCATAAAAATGTTTTGAAACAATCTCTCAGATAATACCGAAACAAGGATTCGCGAAACAAATGTTGAAGTTTTTGAAAAGACATTAAATTTAATAGATTTGTAAAAAAAAAGTTAGAAATGAATAAGACTTAATTTTTTAGATATTTCCAATGTTAAACAAAACCATAACAGTAAAATTAACATATTTTATTGGGTTTATATTTGAAAACTTATTTATAACAAATTATTTAATGTTGCCTAAATGTTATACATCTAAATGTAATTATATACATTATCGTATCGAACCAAAAATCCGTTATTTTTAAAAAGTAGATTTTCTAAACTAAATTAAACGGGATTTTTAAAATTGTTGTTTTAATTTGAAATACTGTTTATTGGTCTACAAAACAGTGCCATTCA